ACATTTCTCTGATAATTAGTGATATTGAACATTTTTTCATGTGCCTTTTGATCATTTGTATGTCTTCCTTGGAGAATTGCTTGTTTAGGTCTTCTGCCCATTTTTGGCTTGGGTTGTTTATTTTTTTCTTATTGAGTCGTATGAGCTGCTTATATATTTTGGAGATCAAGCCTTTGTCGGTTTCACTTGCAAAAATTTTCTCCCAGAAGAACTCTCTTCTATTAAAAGAAGGAAAAAAGAGAGAGAAAGACTGAGATAATTTAGCTTTTGGAGAGGCTTGACTTCCAGAAGAAACAAGGATCTGGGAACTTAAAGTTTACATCTGCCTTTCGGCATCGTGCCTTGAAATCTGTTGTAAATTCCCTGTGTTATTAGTCCAGGAGATTTTCACAGAGAGCAAGATTCCTGAGGTTCAGAAGAAAGAAAAGACACCCACTCAAAGATGCATTCTAGTTAGCATCCGTGAAAAGACTGACACCTGAAAGCGTGTTTCAGGAGGAAAAAATAGGTGAAAAAAGGACGAATGCAAATCTGTGATTATCTGTAGAACCAGGTATCAATATTGTCAATTTCAGGGAAAAATGTCTCATTGGACTCTCTCATTAGCTCTTATTGGACCTCATCGCCTTACCCTCTCTGGAGTTAGACTTGGCCAAGTAATGTGACTGGCCAATGAAATGTGAACTGGTCTGTGTCACGGCTGGCTTCTAAGATTATGAGCCAGTACATAACCCTCCCAGTCCTCTCCTCTCAGCCTATAGTCAGCATCAGCCCGGATTCTAAACAGACCCCAGTGAACAAAGTAGCTCTGCTGTTCCTTGATGGATATATAGCAGGGGGAAGACGTAATCCTGTTGTCGTAAGTCACTAAGATTTGTCTGTTATTGCATTGTAACCTTGCCCATCGAATAGTACAATATCCATCCTGAAAGCATTTTGAAGAATCTATGTTTTTGTTTTCCACTGAGTGAGAAAGAGTTGCTGCAAGTTATCATTTCAGTGACTCAAGGCAGGGGTTAAATATTTTATAACTTGCCCTATTTAAAATATATAATATATTATGCCTCCATTTGTTATAGACACTTTACTTCTGCCATGCTTTTTGAAAAACACTTTTAAATCTTGTGTTCTCATACGATCCTTTACTCCTATAGTTATTTCTTAAAATCTTTTTGGTGAATGCTTAATGGACAGCCCCATGAATACAACTGATAGATTTCTGCTTTTTCAACCAATACATTTTAAAATATAGGTGTCTGAATCTAGGTAACAAATCTAAACAAATTTTTCATTTTGACGTTTAGGTACTTTTCCTGGCAACTGCACAATAACTAGAAGATTAGACTCTTCTTCCCTTTAATAAATCCCACAAGAAACAGAACTAGTAACAGGAAATTAGTGTTTGAAAAATCCACCATTGCATGACCACGAAAAGAAAACTCTCCAAGGACAAGACTAGTATGGGTAGCATTGATGAAAAAATATTCAACTATTTTCTTTAAGTCAATCTTTCCTCAAAATCTTGTAAGACATTTTTCTGGGCTGTTAAGGGTCTCCATTCAAACTTGATATTGGGCTTTTTTTTTAATCATTCCATTTTTTCAGGTGCTCTCATCAGTAGGGTGAATTTAAAATTATTTTTGCTGGGTGTGGATCTTTTTGAGAGAACTGGCAAACCAGGAGCCTTTGAAGCAGCTGTTTTTTCATCGGCTGGAGGCAGAAATCTAATCCCTGCATTCTGACGAGATCTGACCTCAGTGAACACAGCTTGCCTCTCACAGATCAAGATTGGAGGGAAGAGCTGGTCTGCAGGTCCCCAGCTGAGAAAAAGGGAAGGCGGGGAAAGATAAGAACTGGTTTCAAATATCCTTAATGGGAATTCTCCATAGTCATTTGTCATTGGGGCTGGGTGCTGTCAGAGCTTTGATTACTGCCTCCTCTTCCCTGGGAATCCTTCTGTTTGGTCCCTCTAGTGTTTGGACTTGGGCCAGCACTTTTTTGTGTGTGTTTTCCAGGTAACTCTGAGTCTGTCTCAGAACATCCCTGGAGTGACTCATCCGTCTGTAACTGATAGACCACAGTCTGATTTTTAGCTATCCTGGTTTTCCGCACATATCCGTGCCCTGAAAGGCGATGGTGAGATTTCTTTTTTCTTTCGTTTTCCTGCCTATTTTCTTGCTGGCTCAGAAAATCTAAAATATACACAAGCCACAGGATAGGGCATTTTTATCAGTATTTTTATTGGTTTGTTTTTGGGGTCTGTGCATCCTGAAACTTAATCAACATGTTAAAAGAGAGAGAAGGAGGAGATCAGAAGAGGAGACATTTGTTAGTGGTTTCTGATGTATGAGTCTGAAGGACCTGTCACGTTGAGCCACAGAATGACTTTAATTAGCTGCCTGTCTGAAATGCCCTGTCGATGTGGTCCATTAAAGCCATACCATCTGACAAAAGAAGATGTGAAAAGATGCATAGAGGCTGGCTGCGAACACGAGGCACACCACTCATTTTTGCCTGCACCTCCACACTTCTAATAAAAGGTAATTCATCACGGCGCATTTTCCAATTTTCGGTTTGTAAAACCAGTTGTGACTATTAATGATGCCCTACCCAGTTTTTGCCTGTTACTAACGCAGCCTGTATCCCCTTTACAGAATGGAGCTTAGCAGGCTGTGTGATGTGGCTGAAAGCTCATGGTCAAAGAGGACCAGGGATGCTCATGACCCAGTCTGTGCAGGGACCACAAACTAAGGGTATTGTCCGTACCTTTATTTCCTCCGTGACATAGAGATTTTCTCCATTGAGTCTTGGGTGCAACCTTTTGCTGTCATCAAAAATGCTAACCAATGCTGGGTGGTGTCGGGAAGGCTACTGAAAACCTAACAAAAAACCTGGCTTGTTCATCCATCCATTCATTCATTTGTTTATTTTTGTATCTCTTTTCCAAAAAAATATTTTTATACAATTTTTAAGGGTTACTTTCCATTTACAGTTTTTACAAAATTGTTGGCTGTATTCTCCACATTGTACGAAACATTCCTGAGCCTTTCTTACACCCAATAGTACCTCCTACCCCCAACTCCTGTGTTCCCACTCCCCCCTCCCACTGGTAATCACTAGTCTGGTCTCTATATCTGTGAGTCCAAGCAGACTGATTCTTGTTCTAGCCCTGGGAGTACCACGTGCTGCTGTGGGTGCCGAGATCTGGCTGCCCTTCTGGGCAAGCGTCCCTTCAGGAATGGGGGTGGCGTGGGAGATGGCCCGTGAAAGCAAACCAGGAAAAGACCACAGGTTTTCAATCTGAGGAGGCCAAAGTTGAGAACAGACATGCTGGATGTCCTTAAAACAACACCATCTAGCAGGAGTAAGAGAAGATCTTGGCATTATGTTAGAGATTGCCTGGGAATTTTGCACGGCTGTAGCTCCCACCCCTTTCCAACTCTGAAACTCCTCTCAGGCCAGGAGAGTTTGCTCACTGTTTCACAAACATGGCCTGCCCTTTCTGGTGGCCATGCTCAGACCTTCACTCATGTCATTCCCCTCACTTAGATGTCCCTATGCCCTGCTGCTAAGTGTAAATCTGACTGTGCATACAAAACATATGGCATATGGTTTCCAGGAATTAGGTGTCTCTATATAGCAAAAACCTCAACACAGTTGAACAAGGTAACTTTCTCTCTGAAATAATAGAAGTTAGAAGGTAGGGAGAGAGTTTGGGGTCATTAAAGATACACTTCTTCTATCTCTGTGCTCCACCATTCTGGTACCTGGGTCATCTTATCTGCAATCACAGCTCAGAAAAGAGGAAGGAAAGACGGACAAGAAGGAGCCCTCCCAGCAACCTTTCAAGACGCTTTCTCAGTAGTCCCTCGGGGCCCTTTTTAGATCTCATTGGCCAATTCATTGTCACCTGTCTACCCTTGGCAATAACAGATGTTAGAAAACAGTCTTAGCTTGGGTCATTGCCACCATGTATAAAATACTGATTTTGACAAAAAAGAAGATAAAGGAGGAGGAGGAGGAAGAGAAAGGAAAACTAGATATTGGGTGTCAGCTAGCAGTCTTTGCTGTGTGGTCTGACAAATAATTTTGTGGTGTATCAAGGACAGATGCAGGTACTTAGGCTATTAAAAAAAAAACCCTGGAAATTCCAGGAAATTTTAATGAATTATAAAGGGGAAATGAACTGGTGGTTTACAGACCAAATTTTGCCTGAAGACACATTTTATTCTGCCAATATAGTGTTTAAAATTTTGTTGAGCCAGTACTTAAAATTGGGAGAATGTATATAAATTCTAACACAGAAGGAACAGAATAAAGAGTTCTTCAAAGGGACCCTGTTTATTCCCCAGGGCACCCCAGAAGGCTCTCACTGGGCTTACAAACGATGCATCAAATGCAGTTGTGACCACCCCATTCTTCCTGTGTTCCAATCCCACTGGTGTACCAACCACAAAGGCTCCCCATGACTGCTGCTGTAAGAGTCCACCTGGAAATCACCAATGTTGCTAGGGTTGCTCCCAAGGTAGCCTGTCCTCAAGGTGCAAGAAGTTTCTTTGAGGCATTACTCAACTTGGAGAGAACTGTGGCCTCTGTCCCCCAAATTTATGATTTGTCCCCAGAGCAGTACTGTCCACAGCCTCTCCAAGTTCTGCCTGTGTTTCTAACTTCCCCCCCACCCCACATTTCCAGGTATCCAATTAAAGGGCTGCACCCGCTTTTGGTCCCCAGACACCGTAACTGCCAAGGTACCAATGCGATGCCAGGAAAAGGAACTGTTGCTCTGCCCTCCTTCCTAACCTCTGCTTCCTCTCTCCTCTCAGGCTGTGCCTCCAAACCAACTCTTCCCTCCTTCACTTACAAATGAACCTGGCCTGGCACAGCAGTGGATGGAAACAGATAACTGCTGTCGTCTGGGGAAGGCTGCACAAAATCATGTCAGAGCCCTTCAGCAAGTTCAAATGTCCCATTACGCAGTGTGTGGTCACCAAATCTCCAGCAAGCCTGGGCAGAGAGAATCCACTTCAACAGTGAAGAAACTGAATCAGAGATTACAGTATTTTTTAGGGAGTCAAAAGGGCAGAGACAGAGAAGCCGAAAGGCAAAGAGGGCTCTTTGATTGCTTGTTCAGTGTGGTCTCCACTGACCCTACTCCCCTAACCATGATAGAGATGCTTATTTCATAAAAGCTCAAAAAAAAAAAAATCAGACATTGGACCGAGTGTGGGACAAAAATGTTGTTGTTCCCCAAGGGCTCATGTAAACCCAGAGGGGCGTTTAGTTTGATAATGCAAAGGAGATATGATAACAGTTGCTTTCCCTGCTTGTTCCAGGCATCTGATAAACCAGGATTGATGTTTATGCTCAGCTATGTGAGACCACAGCAACTTCTCATGGTTACCATGGGATACCTTCTAAATATGTGCCTGATGTGATTTCCCCAAGTTGTTATGCAATGAAAATGCCATAGATGCTGCTAAGTATGGAGTTTTTTCAGTTGCATACCCGAAGAAATGTGATACTTCCCCTTAGGCTGTAGCGTACTGGGCTTGGCTGTGTGTCAGGAGATTTCAGTAATGGAGAATTCAAGCTTTTCTAGCTACAGGGCACCAACAACTAGAGACTGGTTAATTTCGGGTAAATAATTTGAATAGCGTCAACTTTCTTTCTTTTTTTTTTAACAAAGGAAATCTCCTTTCTAACAGAAAACGTAAGGAATGTTCTCCGCCCGGAAGATAACTTACTTGTGCCAGATGTGCTCATCACGCTTTGTGCGGCCTTTGACTATTGCACTTGTACACAGTGATTATTTGTTCAGTTGTCTCTCTTCTCTGCTAAACACGAGCTCCTTGAGGGCATGGGCTGTGTTGTTTGTTTTTATTTCCCCAACATCTGATGCATTGGAGGCATCCCATAAACGGAGGTTGGTGAGTTAGTGGGTGATGCGCAGCAGTAGTCCACACGGACTAGTGGTACTCTGGAAGAGAGCCTTAGAGAAGGACAATGTCCAAGAATAAAAGTTTTCCTAAAGAAGAGTCTTTGCCATACCCACAATTTTTGCTCCAGGGTGAAAGGAACAAGGATTTAACTGGTACTTCATTTCCACACAGATATACACAAACCCAGAAAACAGACTTCGGATTGAGAGCAGCAAGACGAAATCCTAACAACCTGTTGAATCTCGTCACCCTGAAGGTAATTGTATTTGGATTCTAAAAGGGATGATGCATTGCTCTATGTTTCCCGTTCCTCTGGGCTTCCACAACGTCCTCTGCTTCCTTCCACCACCCCCTTGTATTGTAGTTTCTTTCCAATGAGTGATTATTATGGGATCGCTAGTAGGGAAGAAATAGTCACTTTTAAAACAAGATATTCAGCCCTGTCTGTGTAAAACTGTGGGTAGACATGTTTTTAAGGTATTAGTATATTTCTCATCTCCCGTTTACATGCTGGGTGTGCCTCCTTTGACCTCTCCTTTGTTTGACGGTGGTGTAAACGTCCTTGCACATAGATCCCTCCTCCTATCCTCTTTTCTTCACCTTCCTTTTCATCCTGAAATACTCTTTCTTGTCCAGTGGGAAGCACACATCCTCGCAGCTTATTGGTTTGCAGCAGCTGCCACAGAGGATGCTTGTGTGGAGTTCAAGTTTGTTTCTTTACTGGAGGGGGAGGAGGGAGGAACTCTGCCCCAACAGTAGTCACTAGGTAGGGGGTTCCTCCCTCTTCTTCGCTGGCTCTCTATGAAACTTCTTGCCTTCTGAAGTGTCGTTGCCATGGCTGTAAAGGTTTTTTGCAAATTCAGCTCTCAAAAAGTTTTCTCTTTAATGTTTGCCCATAGCAATAGCCTGCAGCCATAACCAGGATTCTCTGCTAACCTGATTGTAGCAAAAAACACTCAGCATGATGAAGGTAGGGAAGAACCCAATGGGCTCTGCACAGTCAGACAGCACTGGGCTCAGATACTGGCCATAACTCTGTGACTCGGAACTTACTCTCTTAGCCCTTTGGTTTTCCTGTCTGTAAAATGGGAATAATAATATCCGCTTTGCTAAATTGTCATGGAGTTAAGATGGTGTATGGGAGTTGCCTGGAAAGGAGCAGGTGCTTTATAGACAGTGCAAATTAAACCCACTTTTGATTAACTTCTCTCCTCTTCCCCTAGTAACAGGAGCTGGGAGATGGGGAAAATGGAACAGCGGCTTTGCTGGAGTTCCCCGTTCACTCTTCCTGCCCCACCTCTCCTACAGTCTCCTGATACAGGAGCTCTGAAGGTCTCAGACAAGATGCGTGAGGTAAAAAGAAAGTGAAAATGTGTTCTTATGAGACAATTTTTAAGAGTTGCAACAATACCTGGCCTAGAAATTCCCTTCCCTCTAAATTTTAGAATTACAAATAACCACTGTAAATTCTTATCACTTTGATTTGAATGGTGTCTAAAAAAGTGCAAGGTCAAAGAGCTAATTCCAAACTTTGAAAGTGTGGTTCTGTGGCCACATACATGTAAAGGAAAAACTGAGTAAGGGAGGAAGAAGGGAAGTGATTACTCTGAATCCAAAGGCTAGGTCAGTGTTAATCCTCAAGTTGATGACACTTGCTCGGCTGGTCACAGCATTTGCTCTATCTGATTGGCAATTTGAGTTCGTGGTATTACATAAGAGTGTCAGGATCTACAGAGCAGTTTAGACATGAGTCTGTACCTTCATATAGCTTTAATCTAGTGGAAGACACAGGAGAATCACAGGGGAAGTTAATATAAATGCCTCTCAGTTAGCCTAGTTCCAAAGCCATGAGGGTCTGGAGCAGTGCGCTGGGACCTCTGGGTCTGCATCACTTATGAGGGTAGAAGGTGCAGAGAAAACATCTTTGGCTGCACAGTCAGTTCTGTTGTATACATTTGCTAGATCCAGCTGTGTTTCCTAAAGACTGAACATATTGTTCTGACTATTTGTATTCTTGGCATCCAACCCTGCCGCACATTTCCAAGCGCCAGGAGCACGCAGCACAGCAGTCCTTCCCTGAAAGGCTGTAAAGCCACGACTAGTTTCTTCTCCCAAAGACCCAAGGTACTTGTTAAAGCACGAGAGCTGTTTCAATGGATACGGCTCTGAGTTAAGTGTGTGGCAACACAGTCTTAGGGAGACAGAGTTCCTTTGCCTAACAGTCTCCGTATTTGTCAAAACTACTGTAGGTCAAAGGTTAGCAGTAGCGTCTGGCAGCACAAGACCAAATCCAAAAAGCTTAACTAGGCTGGGCCAGTGAGCCCAGTTCCTGCGACAGCCTCCTCTCTCCATGACTCAAAGTCCGGGTCCATGCTGCTGCAGAGCGGAAGTTCACAGGTGATGAGGGATGTACGTCAGATGTGCAAGCACAGCGGTAACCTCGGTGATGCTTTCAGTCCCAGAGAGGGATGCAGAAGCTGGCTTTGTCACAGCTCTCGGGGGATGTTACAGAATTTCCAAAAACATGTGTATCTATTGACTGTGTCTTTAAAATACAAAGATAAGATTTTTAGGTAGTTCAGTTCCAGAGAGAGGCAGAAGCGTTAAAAGTGCATGCTAAGATTGACTGTGACGGGAGGGCATTGGAGGGATATTAACCTCGCTTGAGAAAGGATGGAAAGCAGTGTCGAGACAAAGGGGCCACTACTAGACCCCCAGAGACCCTAACTCACTCCACAGTCTAAGTACTGGAGACAAATACACCATCCAGACTGCATACACCATGACTGAGCACCTCCACTTTGCACCATCTCTGACACGGAAGGATTAATAGGCAGGTTTCTAGAGGAAAATGAGGCCTAAATTAAGGTTGAGAATGCAAACTGAAACAAACGAGAGGGTGTCACTCTTACAAAGTCTAGGCTGAATCTCTCGTGAGACATCTGATGTCTCAGATGTCTGTGTGTTTGACATACTAGTTATCAAAGCATGATACATCAAAATGCACTGTGTCCTGTCACTAACCCTGACCTAAAGATGAAATTAAATGCTACATAGGCATGGAAAATCAAGAAAAAATAGGATTTGTCTCAGCAAAAGTCTTTAAAAGTTTAATACCTCTAGATACACAATTTTAACTTAGAGAAATTTATTCTAAGTAAATATTTAGAGAATATTTAGTTACAAGAACATCCATCACTGTTTTTAGGGGTGGGATGGCTATGAAAAACTGAAAGTTATGTAAATATTTGTCCAACAATAATACATTGTATGGTATATTTATGATAATGGAATAATTTATAGCCTTTAAAAAGCGATGTTATGGAAACAAATAATCCAATTAAAGACAACAAGTATTGGTGGGGCCGTGGGGAAAATGAAACCCTTGCGCACTGTTAGTGGGAATGCAAAATGGGGCAGCTGCTGTGGAAAACAGTATAGAGGTTTCTCAAAAAATTAAAACTACAACTGCCATATGTTTCAGCAATCCTACTTCTGGGTATATATCCAAAAGAATTGAAATCAGGGGCTCTAAGAGATATCAGTACTACCATATTCAATACAGTACTATTAACAATAGCCAAGATAGCCAAGATGTGGAAACAAACTAAATGTCTATTGACAGACGAATGAGTAAAAAAAATGTGGTACACACATACAAAGAAATAATATTCAGACTTAAAATGGAAGGAAACTCCAATATCCAATAACATGGATGAAATTTGATGACATTACACTAAGTGAAATTCACAGAAAGACAAACACTCCATGATTTCCCTTACATCAAATATCAAAAATAGCAAAATTCATAGAATCAGAGAGTGGATTGGTGGTTTCCAGGGACTGAGAGAGAGGGAAACAGGGAGTTACTAATCAATGGGTATAAAGTTTCATTTAAGCAAAATGAGTAAGTTCCAGAGATCTGCTGTATAGTTTTGTCCCTATAGTCAAAAAAAGTCCAGTGCACTTGAAAATTTGTTGAGAGAGTAGATCTCATGTGTCTTTTTTGACTTTTTTTTTATTGAGTTATAGTCATTTTACAATATTGTGTCAAATGCCAGTGTAGAGCACAAATTTTCAGTTATACACAAACATAGATATATTCATTGTCACATTTTTTTTCACTGTGAGCTACCACAAGATCTTGTATATATTTCCCTGTACTATACAGTATAATCTTGTTTATCTGTTCTACATTTTGAAATCCCAGTCTGTCCCTTCTCACCCTCCACCCCCTTGGCAACCACAAGTTTGTATTCTATGTCAATGAGTCTGTTTCTGTTTTGTATTTATGTTCTTTTTTTTTTTTTTTTTAGATTCCACATATCAGCAATCTTATATGGTATTTTTCTTTCTCTTTCTGGCTTACTTCACTTAGAATGACATTCTCCAGGATCATCAGATCTCATATTAAATGTTATTACTACAATAATTTTTTTAATTTTAAAAGTGAGCAAAAGATCTGAATAGGTACATCACAAAAGAAAAGATACAGTTGGAAATAAGCATATGATAAGATGCTCAACATTACTTGTCATTAGGGAAACACAACTTACAACAACAAGATGCCGCCACACATCTGTTAGAATAGCTAAAATTGAAAAAAAAAAACTAACAATACCAATTGCTGGCAAGGATGCTGAGCAACAGGAACTCATTCTTTGCTGGTGGGAATGTGAAATGGTACACACACTTTGGAAGACAGCTCAGCAGTTTTTCACAAATGCAAATATAGTCTTACATATGATCCAAAAATCAGGCTCCTAGGTGTTTACTCCACTGATATAAAAATGTATGTCCACACAAAAGCCCACAGGCAAATATTTATAACATCTTTATTCATAATTTTCCAAAACTGGAAGTAATCAATTTATCTTTCAATAGGTGAAAGGATAAATAAACTGTGGAACATCCATACAATGGAATACTATTTAGCAATAAAAAGAATCAGCTATCAAGCCATGAAGAAACATGGATAAATCTTAAATACATATTGATAAGTGAAATAAGCCAGTCTGAAAGGTCTGCATATTGTTTGACTCCATATATATGATGTTACAGAAGAAAACAGAATTACAGAGACATCAAATAGATCAGTGGTTGCCAGGGACTTGGAGGAAGGGGATTATTGAAGAGGTGAAGCCCAGGGAATTTTTTGACACTATTCTGTGTGATACTGCAATGGTGGATACACGACACTACACATTTAACAAAACCTATAGAACTTTACAGCACAAAGAGTGAACTTTAATATGTACAAATTAAAAAATTTAGAAGATCAGGAGATCTCAGCATGGAATGCAGACTATGACAAAGGAATCTGTCTATACACAAATGTGTAAAATGACCTAACAGAAGGGAGTAGGGGGAAAGCGCTGACCTAAATAACTTTGAAAATAAGCGGAAACTAAAATGAAAGGCAAGATAACTGTACAAAGTGCTATATCCTAGTTGGTAAAGTTGTTTCCTATGAGACCTGAGACCACTATACTTGTATACTAGAATTGAACAATTATGTAAACGGATGACAAATGGTGGAAATGAGATTTTTCAGTATTGGAGTCAGAGTTTACAGACAAGCAAAAGAAGAAATCAGGAATGATCCATGTGGTACAGGATTAGGGTTGTGGACATCAGTATGAACTCCTGTTTTATTTAATATAGATGTAGAAAATATATAGGAAAAATAATTATAAATTTGCGTGTATATCAGTTAATGTACACACATATATTTCCTTGCTCTGTCAGCTAAGAGAGCCTACAAGCAGTGACATCCGAGTAGCAATGAGCACACTTAACACCCAGATCTTGGTTTCTAATACCGTTCTCCAATAAAAGGAACCAGGGCTCCTTGGAGAAATGACTGATTCCAGGTCTAGAGCAAGGCAAATACAAGATGATTCCAGAGCATCTTGTAGTGCTAGAAAGTAAGGGAGTGCTCCAGAGAACCCACAACAATGGGGGCGTGTCAAAGGGCACAGCAGCCAATGGAAGAGTTCCCAGTGGTCAAGCCTGCAGCAATTTGAGCAATAAAATATATAACATAGACACAGTATTGGATTAAAATCCAAAGTGTTAAACAAACATCCATGAGTCCATAAATATAAGTAAATGAGAGAACAGACAGATCATCCATGCAGAAGAATTTTGAATAATTTACATAGGTACTCCCCTCTTCAAGGAGTGGAGCATAACTCCCTACTCCTTTAGTGTGGACTCCACATAGTGACTTCCTTCTGAAGGGCACAGTATGGAAAGAAGGACAGAAGGACAGAGAAAGAGTAACTCTACAATGGAGAAAACGAACAAACACGACCTCAGCTAGATGAGCAAGTTTCACATCGGCAGTGCAAAATCACGTTGATAATGCATAACCTTGATATGATGTCATGAGAATGGCACTTCACTTCTGTGCCTCCCTTCCCCCAAACCCATGGCCTCAGTATTATCATGAGAAAAACATCTGACAAATCCAAGTGAAAGACACTCAACAAAACACCTGACCAGTACTCCTCAAAATTGTCAAGGTCACCAAAAATGCGGAAGTCTAAAAAATGTTATAGTCTGAAGAGCCTAAGGAGATGTGATGACTAAATGTGATGTGACATCCTGAATGGGGTCTGGAACAGAAAAAGAATGTTAGGTAAAAACTAAGGAAATCTGAATAAAGCATAGACTTGAGTTAGTACTAATGTATCAACACTGGCATTGATAATAACAGTGTATTGATGTTGGTTCATAGATGTGACATCAGTACCATGCTAATGTAAGATATTAACAGTAGGGGAAGTTGGGTGTGGGCTATATGGGAACTCTGCACTGTCTTCATAACTTTTCTGTAAATTTAAAGCTATTTTAAAATAAAAAGATTATTAAGCTAAGAGTATATGCTATACTTTTCCTAAAATTTTAGGTAGATCTATTGGTAGATAGAGAGATAGATGACAGAGACACATGCATTCATAGAAAAAAAATGAAAGGTTATGTATCAAAACATCAACATTGATTATTACCAGTGGTACAATTAGAGAGTATTTGCTTATTTTGCTCTTCTGTACACAGAATTTTATAATACTATAAGAAAAAAGAAAATTGTAAGCCTTCATTTGTGCCAGAATATTTCTCTGACTTAAGTACCAAAAGAGGAATTATATCTAATATTTAAAATTCCCCCAAATAGTTAAAAGGCACACAGTATGGAACAATTCTGTCAGGAGGGAAATGTAAAAATTACTTTTTTATTCAACACTTTCTTCCCAGGTTGTTCTTTGACAGTACCTAAGGATAAAGGTGAAGAATAATTGTATCTGAACTAAGAATTTGATAAAACATAGTCAAGAAAGAGTCTCAAATTAACCTTCAAGAGGAATTCCAATTCCCCATGTTAATCCGTTCATTTCCCTCATTCTAATTTCCTATGTAATTTAAGATGTTTAAATCTTAAATTAAACCTAGAGGGGCTGGTGTGAGGCTCCGAGAAGCTGCTGTTTGATGTCCCTCGAGTTCCATTCCAAGCACACCTGCTAACACCCTCTCACGCTGGAGAGTGGAAGCCGGCGGTTGTGATAACATGAGAGTGCTGGCGGTGTCATTACTGCCTCCTCTAGTGAGATGCGATTAGCTACTTTAAATAGAAATGATTCTTTCATTCCCATGACAGCTAGGCTTATTCTGTTTTAAATTACTAGATCCTTCTTTGCGTGAGCTTACTGAGGATAAGCTACCTACATTTTTTTTCCATGGATCATTTCATTTATTTATTTATTTTCATTCTATAAATACGTATTGAGGGCTTACCATTTGTCAGTTACTGTATTAATAATTGAGGAATATTAAAACATAAAATAAATAAACAAATAAAAATTTTAAGGAGATTCTAGGAAAGAGGGGCGGCTGCAGTGAAATAGGTAAATTAGTATACTTACAAGACAGAACACATGCCATAAAGCAAAGTTCAGATAAAGTGAAGTGAGCCTCCGCAGCAAGGGGAGATTACATCTGTGCAGAAGGGCCTAGGGG